CAGCAAGGAGGGCTCTGGATGAGGACTCAATTCTGTCTCACCACCAGAGTGGACAAGGCAATCAGCATGCCCTCATGCACAAAGCCGTGCTGCTGTGTCAGCCCTAAACCAGCACCACGAGTCTCTGCATGCAACCTGGCAACCATGGGATTGCCAGAGCATCTTCCACATTGCTCTTCCAGGAGGCTGGGTAGAGCCCAGGCAGAGGCTGACAAGCACCAGGCACCCTGCCTCACGAACCAGAGAGGGCTTATGCTGGGCAGATGGAAGTTCCCAACTTGGCAGCTGCCATGCTGTGACCACTGTCATGGTCTTATGCTCCCCTCCCTGCTCACCATGGCCATCTGCTGCCTTGGCTTCTATCTGGAGCCTGTCCACACTGCAATGGTGCTGTGGCATGGCTATAGCTAGGTTCCTGGTGGCCCCATGGGCATGGAGCAGCATAGATGCTGTGGTGCTCCCAGCTATGAGGCTGCACAATCACTGGGATGCTGAGCCACGACTGATCCCACGTCACTGTGCCTGAGTGGTGTCAGCCATGGCAGAGCCCATCAAACAGTGCTCAAGCCCTCAAGAGCTGAGGGGAAAAGGGTGAGATCCCACTGCTCAGGGCAGGCCTGGGGCATGGCTCCTCTCAGCAGCCCCACAGGTTTTGGGTTGTCTGAATCCAAAATACCAACTTTGTAGGCGAAAACCTTCAACATCTGACAAAGGTATATCCACATCACGCTCACCAGAGTGCAGAAATACAGACTTGCACTAGCTTGGCCTGTGGTGGACACCCAAAGAGACCACAGCTCTATTAAACATTGAGGCCATCAGCTCAAATGACCATCAGTCCCACCTCTCCTGCCTCATGGCAAGGCCAGAAAGAGTTCCTTCTTTGCCTGGTGCACCATCCTCGTTCCCCAGATAACCCAGCTCCTGTCTGGGATGAAAGCACAGCAGCCTCCCCACCTCTGCTTACACTCCTCACACTTGCTGCCCTTATCTCTGCAACTACAACGGTGCAGAGACCCATTCCTTTCAGAGCACTGAAACCAGAGACCTCTGCCACAGCAGAGCTCTTCAGTTTGACCACCCCAGCATCTTAGCTCCCCCCCGGCTTCCTCGAGCCCTTTCTGCAGAGCTCCAAGACCTACAAGCATCCAGCTGCTACCAGATCCTTCTCAGCTGAGAGATCCCACTTTGGGATCAGCATGCCCCCAGATACATTCAGGTATCCCAGATGCTTAATTTTCCCTGGCTCCCCGAGCCAGCAAAATCCCAGTGTTCGTTGTTCCCCTCCAAGAACAGTTCTCTGCCTCTAATGCTTTGCTGTCTGATCTCCTTGTCTCCTTCAGTTTTGTTCTTGGTTTCTTCCTTCGCTGTGAAGAGCTCCTGGAGCGGAAGATGAGTCAGGAGAGATACGCAGGGGAAAGAAGACAAGCTCCCTGCCTTGAAGTCAGGTTCACTGCCTGCGTCATTGCTATTAAAAATAGATGAATGGCAGTGCTCTTTGCATTGGAGGAGAGACAGAGGAGATGCAATATCCCGGGCTGCTGGGCACATGCTCCCTCTGCCTGCCTGCAAGTCACCCATAGCATATCCTGCTCTTTGATAAATTCCTTTTTTCCTTGGCTCTGACTTGTGGGATTTAATTTGCTTCCCATAAAAAAACTCTTAATGTTTCAACCTTGGGGAGGGGGGGATGACTCACTTTGGATTAGTTCTTCTGCTCCACTCATTTGGCAACCAGCTCCCTTGGGAACTGGAAATCCCTGAGTTCTGAGTTGTCTCCCTTTGAGAGCAGCCCCTCTCCCTGTCCTGCAGTAAAGTGCTTCATGAGGATGAGAGCACCCACCTAGGGGTGATATACTGGCCCATCTAACCCAAGACCAACCCTGATCATGCCCAGTCCTCCTGAATAAAGCACATTTGCAGGGTGGCATGGAGCAGGCTGGGATCCACTGAGCTCTTTGCAAGGCCAGGGTGAGATACCCCATCCCTGGCAGTGTTCAAGGCTGGGCTGGACAGGGCTTGGAGCAACCTGGTCTAGTGGAAGGTGTTCCTTCCCATGGCAGGGGCTTAGAACTAGATGAGCTTTAAGGTCCCTCCCAACCCAAACCATTCTAGATTGTATGTGTAACAGTGCTGCTCCCTGTGCCCCATGGCAAAGGGCAGAGGAGAGAGGGGCTAAAGCACAAGAAATAGGATGATTTACCAGAGGGCTCCTGCTGCTGCCACCACTTGCCTCCATGCTGCAAAAAGGAGGTGATCACTCCTCAGGTTGTGTGGGGCCGTGCTAGGTGACAATGGCAATGGAACCAAAGCCTCGCCACTGCTCTGCTCACTATGGAGGCTGGGGGCACAGCCTGAGCACTCAGCTTACACGTCTCTCCCAGGACCAAGATTTCCCTCCCTCCTACCTATACCCTGACTTCCCCTCAGCCCTTTTGCTGCCACTATTTTCCACTCATTTATTTTCTATGATCTGCTTCTTCCTATTAAATTAATGTAATCAACATTATCATCTCTGGCCTGCTCCGTGCTTTGGCCACCAGCCAGAAACAAAAGGACAGGAACTAAATAAAGCCGCTGCAAAAGAGAGCATGGAGACTGGCAGAATTTGATGGTTCTGAGCACAAAACTTTCTTTCAGAAGTTATTCTAAGTCTTCAGCTCTTGCTGCTACCCAGACCTGTCTGGCCTAGGCACTGCATGGGTTTCCCAAGGGTGTTTTCAGTCATCCTCAAAGACAGCTCAGGACAACTACCCCCTGAGCATCTCAGAGCACCTACATAACCCACACCGACACAGGGGGCTGCTCCCTGGTGTCTAAGGGGAGCATTTTTGCTGTTCCATGAGAAAGCCTGTGCACCAGCAGGAGGATGTTAAAGTGCCCCTTGGTTCTGCTCCCTTCTCCAGGGTGGGAGAGCAGCAGTGTCACCACAAAAACACTGTCATGCTGATGCAGTAACTCCTCTTGCTTCCAACCACCCCCTCCGTGCTATGGGGAGTGGAAGGTGCCTCATTAGTGTGTTAATCGCAATCCTAATGAGTGCGGAGATCTGCTAAAGTAATAGCAGCGACCTGCAGGGGGGCTCATCTGCTCAGGTTTATCGTGCTGCTCACAAGACCCTTGGGGAAATGCCAGCCCATCGCTCTCCTTGTCCCCCAGCTGCTGAAGACACCTGTGCCATGTCTATATCCTTAATTAAAGCAGAGGGACCGGTAACCTTGACGACTGAGAGCCACTCTCTGTAAGCCAGCTGAGATGGATATCGTTCTGGCGTCTCCAGAGAGAGACCAGAGAAGAGATGTGAGTCAGAAGCTTGCAGGCTTCGGACGTGCTCATGAACTGTGCTTGCAGCCAACAGTGCTGACATCCCTGGGGCTCATGTCCTCCCCAGGGATGGGTGTCTGGAAATACCCTGGTCTCTTGCTGGGGAGACATGGCACGCTTCCCACCACCCCAAGGTGCTAGGTTAAGGGTGCACACTGCAGCACCAAGAGCTCAAGCTTGTCTGGTGCAAAGGGGTTTTTGTTCTGCAGGGCAGCCCTGTGGTGACTAGGGGGAGTAGAAGACTTAAAACTTACCAAGAAGTTGTAAATACACTTAACGTAATTCCCCTTAGAACTGGGACATTTGTACAAGCCCAATAACTTCTGCCTTAATGGGACGCCAGAAAATGGTACATGTGGTTTCGGTGGTGATAAGTAGCAAGCAGCTAGAAATACATTTCCAATGAGGGCAGAGATTTAATGTTTGGGGTTTTTTATGAGCTGGTAAAAGATGCAATCAGTTCTGCATGAGGTCAACCCTGTTCTTCACTCGCTGCCCAAACTGAGGGCAGGAGCTATAGAGGATCACACATTGAAGAAGGAAGGCAACACTTCTGGGGGAACAAAACGGTTTCCATCTTCCTCCCCTGTCCTGTGGTGCTGCAGACACGGGTATTGGGATGAAGAGCCACAGCCCCGCCTCTGCCAAAGCAGCATAAGACAGTGTCAGCAAGAACCATAGGTGCCTCTAAGGCCCCATGTTCTTTGTACCTTCCAGGCAAAGGGCACTTTCGCAGGTCAGAGGGGCCCCAAATCTCTGTGTGTTTCTGTGAGAGCTGATGGGACAGGACAGGAGGGCTTGCTCCATCTGCACCACATGAGCCAGGGTTGGGGAGGAAGCACCATGACAAGATATTTGCACAGAGGTTTTTGGTCCTTCCAGAGAAGACAGGGTGCCTGGCGGGGTGCCTGCACACTGCCAGCTTTGCAATGGGGTTTCTTCCTCAGAAATGCTGACCAGAAGAGAGTGGTCAGTCTTTCTGAAGGACCTTCACAGTGCCTGGATGGGGCTGGCCAGCACCCAGGAGGCTGGGAGGGATGTGGAGCCACAGGCTCCCCATGGGCTCCAGAAACCAGCCGTGGCATCTTGAGCACCCAGCTCAGTCCTGGGCAGGACAGCAGCCAGGGGTGCTTGGAGCAGTGCTACACCCAGCTGTTTGAGTACACGGGTACCCAAAAGCAGTGCAGAGGCCCCAGGGCAATGTCCTGTGTTGGACTTGGATGCTGTCACCATCCGTGTACAGAGCAGAAGTGGGGTGCCAGGGGCAGATTTAGGGGTGTCGAAGGCCTGGACCTCGGTCACTTGGACCAGCACAGAGTGATGGAGGTGGTTCAGAACCAGACCAGGGATGCACAGCACAGGGAAGGACGGGACCGGGGCTGCGCTTCCCGAACCAGGAGGATGCACTTCCCATCTCCGAGGATGCGGACTGGACCAAGAGCGCCCAGCCGGAACCGGCCGTGCCGGGGACCGCCCGGAGATGCCGGTGGCGGTGCCAAACCGGACCGCGGGTGCCAGGGAGCGAACCGGGACCTGCCCGGAGCGCTCTGCCCGAAACGGAGGCGCAGGGAACCGGCTCGGGGATGCCGGGCCCGGGCCGGGCGGGAGTGCGGGGGACGGCGGCGGCCCCCGCCCCGCGCCTCCAGGGCCGGGGGCTGCACCACGTGCCGCCCGCCCCGCCCCGCCTCGGCACCGCCCCGGTGCCGCCGGCGGAGCCAGCGCGGATCGGCCCAGCATGGAGGGGACGCGGCGCGCCCTGCTCCGCCTCGCCGCTGCTTGCTGCCTGCTCTGCGCCCTGCCAGGTACTGGGGACAGCAGCCCGAGGGGTACCGGAACGCGGGGAGGTGGCTCGGGGGGGTCCCGCCAGTCTCGTCGCGGCGGGGAGAGCAGCGCCGGGAGCAGCCGTCGGGGCAGCGCCGGGGCCCGGGCTCCTCCGCCCGCCGGTGGGGCGGCGGGAAAAGGGTCTGGGGATCCCTCTTCGGGGACGAGAACCTCCGGGGAGCAGCGCCCGAAACTCGGCCCAAGTGCCCTGGCCCCGGCCGGCGCGCAGGGAGAGTGGCCCGGAGATGCCTTGGGGGGAGCCCGGCGAGCCCCACGCTCACGGCGGCAGCGAGGCCGCCCGGCCGGCCCTGCCCGTACACGGCAGCGCGGCTCCGCCGGGGGCCAGAGGGGCCCGCCCGCGATCACCTCCTTGGTGCGGCGAGGAACCGAGGGGGTGCTCGGGGAGGGGAGCGGCGAGCCCGGAGGGACTCTCCTACCGGCCCCCATCCCTGCGAGCCCGCTCTGTCCCACCCTGCAGCTCGCGGGTCCCCACAAGCAGTTGCCGAGCTCCCATCGAAGGGACCCCGGACAAAGCCCGAGCGCTGCCGCCTCCCCGCAGGCACCGGACGCCCGTCCCGCCGTGCTGCGGGGGAGCGATGTCGGTGTCCGGGATGGAGCAGGAGCCAGACCCCGGCCCGAGCAGCGTTTCCCACGCTGTGTTTCGGCAGCATGCCATGAGCAACATGTCCCCACGTGGGCAGGCGCAGTCTGCAGCGTGGCGCTGACAGCCCCGTTCACCGGCACGGCGCCGGGCCCTGCCGCATGGCTGGGAGCGGGCCCGAGCCGGGCTGGAGGCATCTCCGCCACCAGACCCCGGCAGTAACAAAGTCTGAGCTGGCATCTAGGGGCTTGCCTGGGGCTCGGGAAGCAAACGTGCTTCCTCTTCTTTGCGGCTGAGGAAAAACTCTTATCCAGACTCTGTCAGGGTGATGGAAGCAGTAGATACGCGGGGTGACGCATAGAAACTTTGGTCTCTCTTTGGTCTTTGGTGTTGGTAAAACCCTGGTGTAGGTGCCCGCAGGGCTGAGCTGCAGCAGTGAAAGCAGTGCTCGTGCACACATTCGGTTTTTGATGCTGAATGCAGTTTGGCTGGGTTTGAGGCTGAGAACAGGGAAACAGTTCCAAACCAGCCCCGTTGATGTGGGCAAAGCCTCGGGTAGTGCTGTGCTTGCTGTGTATGACTGTGCCGTGATGGGGTGCAGGGACGTGAACAGCCACTAGCAAAGGAATGACTTGCTGGCAGAGGAATGACAACTTGGGATTTCTGTCCTCAGGAGGAGGAGGAGGAGGTCAGGGCTATGCTGGCTGTGTCAGCAGCGTTTCTGCCCCTGGCATACTGGGGTATCCCCTGGGAGCCCCTTGCCCCAGCTGGCTCCTAGGAGCTGTCTCACTGCGAAGTCCAAGACTGAAAACTGCTGGAATGTAACAGAATCAAGGTTGTGCTGAGTTTTTCCTGGAATCTTTCACTCTTTGTGTCCCAATCCCAAAGTTCCTTCACAGCCACAGGAAATGGCACCTATGCAGCTGGCCTGCCCCTTGTCCTCGTGGCTTTTGGATCCTCTAGCTAATCCCAGCCACAGTTTAGAGAGCAAATGTTTTGTGGAAACAGATGGCATGGAAGAGATGCCACCAATAAAAAATGCCCCATGGCAAGCCCAACCCCTATATCGAGACACCAGAGAATCCAGCAGGACAGTGATGAAGGAAGGGAAAGGTTCACCTGGAGATTGGCCCCAAAGCCAACAGTGCCTAAACAAACCCATCCACAATCAGGCTCATCCCAGCTCCATGAACTGTTTGCTGCCCTGCTCCTGATGCAGATCCTCTTTGTATCTTTGTCCAGCAGTTCCTGCTCCCGCTCCCCAGACAGGTTTGCTGCGGGGCCGCAGAGGGGTTCAGGCTGCCCTTCCTTGTGCTCTGCCCACCTCAGCTTCTCAATGCAGTCTTTCTTTGCTGCCTGAGGAAATCCACTTCCTCCAGTACCGTCGGCCGTACAAGTAAAACCCCAAGTAACTCTGTCCTGGGTATTCTGCTACCTCCCCTCCCGTGTCAAGCTGCCTCACAAGCGGAGGGGACGGCATGGGGCCAGGGGCGGCAAGAGCACATAAAGCCCCGTCTGTCAAGGCTGCGCACACAGGCAGGCAGTGTCTGCGTCCCTGCAACAGATTTGCAGTGATTTTTGTTCCCCTTTTTTGCCGAGGGCAAGGGGGAGTGGATGGACAAGGACAAGGGAGAATGGCTTTAAACTGAAAGAGGGGAGATTTAGGTTAGATAGTAAGAAAAAAATCTTCACTGTGAAGGTGTTGAGGTGCTGGCAGAGAAGAGAAGAGAAGCTGTGGCTACCCCGTCCCGGGCAGTGTTCAAGGCAAAGTTGGATGGGGCTTGGAGCAACCTGCTCTAGTGGGAGGTGTCCCTGCCCATGGCAGGGGGTTGGAACTGGATGAGCTTTAAGGTCCCTTCCAACCCAAACCATTCTGTGATTCTATGTGACTCAACCCCAGCTGGCTGGGGCAGCTCCAGATCTTCTGCACCCAGAACTGAGCCTCAGTTCGGTTCTCTCCTCAGGGCAGTACCTCTGTCTGTGTGGGGTTGTCCCAACATGTGCCCAGTCCCATCATGTCATGCCCTCTGTCTTCAATGCCATTTCTGCATGTGCTCTTCCCCCAGCTCCAGGTGCAGAGTGCATCCTGACTCCATGCTGCCCTTCCATGGCCTGACCCCTTGGCTTCATTCCTCTGGGCAAAGGAGAGCAAGGAGGATCCAAAGCACAGAGGCCCCTCTCCTTCCTCCCTTTCAACCAAGACCCTCTGGGTGGGCAGACACAGTTCTTGTTGCAGGGGTTTCCATGGGGCAGCCTTGTGGTGCCTCTGGCTGCCTTCATCCCCACCACACTCTGTGGGTTCAGCACTGCTCAGGTCTGGGGCCATGTCCCAAGCCCTGTAGGGCTACTCAGGGCAGGGCCAGGGCACGTGCTTGCCCTGCATGACCTAAACTGCTGCTGCTCAGGGCAGGATGCACCCTCCAAGCCCCACAGCCCGTGAAACCAGTAGCCTCACAGCTGGCAGGTCCTGCTCTGGACTGAGCAGGCTTCTTGATGTCCAGACTCCCCCCATCTCATGCCACACTGCACTGGAGATCAGGCTCCCTGCTGACATAGGGCTGTTATTAAGGCAACTGGCTAATTAATTTTCTCCTAATGATGTGCGTGCTTCCTCCACTGCAGCTGTGACTCCTGAGGTGACCAGGGCCAGGCTGGCTGATGCCAAAGCTTCCTGCTGTTGCTGTATTATTGGGGTTACACAGCCCCAGAGAAGGGCAGGCTTCCCAGGGCTCCTGTGTCCTCGGCAGCCTCTGGGCAAAGGGGTCTTCATCACAGCTCAATCCCTCTGCTGAGGAACAAAGCAAACAGCATGGGAGCTTCCAGGGCACCTTCTTGCCAAGCAGGATGCTTCATAGCTGCATGCTGCCAGTGGAAAATAACTGGCTGGTGTGACAGTGGTGGCTGAGCAAGGCATCCTGCTCTCCCCTTTTGCCCTGCCATGGGAATCTGGGATAAGCCTTCTCACCTCTATAGTGGGGGATAAGTGATGGGGCTTAATGCAGACCTGTGGGAAAGCTGTTTCTTGCATCTCTCCCTGCCCTGGCTGCTGTGGCAGAGCTTGGGGCTGCCCCCTCCCTGACTCAGGCGCCAGCACTACTGTGTGCTCAGGGCATGTCTGTGCTGTTTATGGGTTTTTCTAGTACGGAAGATTCTGACCTTGACATTTATGGTACTGTTTCCAGGGCCGCTCATCTCTGCTCTTGAAACTCTTGCTCTGCTTTGCCATGCTGTGCCACCGTCGGCTGGTCGTCCCTGTTCCAAATCATACAATAGTTTGGGTTGGAAGGGACCTTCAAAAGTCATCTAGTCCAAACCTCTGCAATGAGCAGGGACATCTTCAACTAGATCAGGTGCTGGGCTGTCCTTCCCCAGCACCCAACTGAGTGAGCTGTGCGCACTCAGTGCCCCATATCTAATCTGAGCCCCGTCTCGTGCTCAGCTCGTGGACACCTGCCTATCAGGCTGGAAGGAGCTTCTCAGTCAGGAGACCTGGTTTCTATTCCTGTCCCTTACCACAGCCGTGGCTTTGCAGCCTGCCTGGCCTGGCAGCTTTCCAGGAGGTGCTTGGCACTCAGCACCGCCAGTTCACACCCCCCGGTTTTGCTGCCTGCGCAACAGGGCACAGCTGAGCTCATAGGGGCCACGTGTGGTGAACTAAACTGCTGCCACATGAGAGCTTCACTGTGGTCCCAAGGAGGCTGCGAGGTCTGATCCGTCCCTGCACCAAGACTCCTCGCAGCAGACAGAGCCTGTTCAGCCTCTCTCTGCTGGGATGGGAATGGGAACAGTCCTGCCATTAGCCCTGGTAGAGAGAGCACTGGATCCTGCAGCAAATGCAGCCCGGTGACATCCTGCCTCTATCGAGGTATCCAGCTGGAGCTGAGTTTACAAAGCAGTTTCCCTTTGTACTGGATCTGCATCTCCGACCCTTGCTTTGTTGCCATGAGGGTGTTTGCTCTACAGTATCCCTGGGTGCATCTGGCACCTACCTGGAGAGCTCTAGAAATCTCTTCTGCCACTTGGGGCTTTTTTATTCCAAGCTCTGAGTTAAGGGGAAGAGGTCAGGCTGAGCCGATATCTAATCAGCACCTACTCTGGTTCTGCTTTTGCATGAGATGAAGAGCCTCGGTTTTAAATCCCACTGTATGGTTTTATTTGCATTTGTGCTCAAGCTCTTTTTCCTTGAAGAGGTTGTTTAATTACCATTGGTTGGTAACCATAAAAATGTAATAACTGGCAACAAAAGATAATTTCTACACTTAATGGAGTACTTTGCTAAGCAACAGGGTATAATTGCTTAAATACATATAGGTTACAGCTTATGCTGTTACTTTTTAAACATATTAATTTTGCATTATCCTAGGTTGGTTGCAACTTGAGCTGTTACACTTAAATGGGAATTGAATTCAGTTAGTGCACGAAAATAGCATTTTAGAAGGGCTCGGACGCCTTTTCAATGAATCAGAGTAGCGGTTTGCCATGCGCTCTGTAGGAAGCTGCTTTAAGTGAGGTGCTGTCTGCAGACAGTGACAGCCTGTGCAGGAGGATGCATCCACACCAGGGAGCCCTGCTCCCAAAGGCGCTTTCCTGAAATCCTGGGTGGATCTTCTCTTGTCTTTGTGCTCAGCTCTCGCCTGGGTCTCTCTGTGCCTGTTCCAGTGGTGACTGCAGCCTGCACCCCTTTGCCTTGCTCCCCCAGCAGCCAGCCTGCTGCTGCCTTCCTTACCTTATGTGGCTCCCCTACATCTCACCCTGAGGGATTTTAGAAGCCTATGGATTTGGATTTTGGTTTGTTTTGTCCCTTGGGGAGCTCAGGCTGCTGTTTCTGGGTGAGGTAAGGAGGGTGCAGAGGATGCTGCGGGGACTGGGGCAGGAGGGTTGTGTCAAGAGCTTGTCTGCAGGTTCATCCAGCTGAGGCCCTGCACTGTCTCTCGATGCCTTGTTTTATCCTGAGATCAAAATGGATGGTGGGGTGGCTGCTGTGGCAGAGGATGAAGGAGACATCCCCGCTCTGCATGGCTGCCCTGACACAGCAGCAATGCTCTGTGCTGGTTGTGCAAACCTTCCTCAGCCCCTCACTTGGCCTCAGCCCTGAAACTTGGGCAGGGAGCACAAAGCAGGAACAGCCCCCCATCTCCTGCAGAGCTGGCTTCCTTCACTCCTCTCAGCTATGGCATATTTATGCCATGTCTGCTCTGGAGCTGTTGGGAGCTCGGGTTGATGTGTGGAGGTCCCTTAGTGTTGGAGAGGGCTGAAGCTGTGGGCTGATGCTCAGAGCCCTCCCTTCCCTCACGGAGAGTTTCCCACCCTTGTCCAAGGCAGGGGCTTCTTGGCTGGCTGCATCCCTCCTCCCTTGGGACTGCTCTCTTCCTTCACCCCTCTTGTTTCCCAGACACAGGTCACTGCAGTCAGCACTGTCTGATGGGAGCTGCCGCTCCAGTTCCACCTCCATGCCCTAGTGTGGTCTGAGACTGCTGGTTCTCACCATGCACAGCCTGAGCCTGGTGGTTAGCACAGACCCCGGGGCTGCAGCCAGGGGACCTCCAGGCAGTCTGCTTTAGCAGGCACTGCAGCGTAACCAAAGCAAACCCACCCCTAGTTCCCAGAGATGCTGTTCTTATCAGAGCTCTTGCTTGCAGCTGGTCCTGTTTCTTCACTTGCAGCACAGTCGTAGTTGCATTATTATGGATCGAGGAGTGACTGCACCTTCACCACCTTCCTTGGGGTGTTGCAATTGTCAGGCCTTGGAGCATCCCAGAGAAGTTGAAGCATATCCACACTAACTCCTTCCCATTTCCACCTGAGACAAGATGGGCATGTGGTTCCTTCCCTCTTGTCTCCAGGAGCCGATGGGGGTGATGCCTTAGGCAATGCAGCCACAGCTTTCCTGGCATGTGGTGCAGGAAGCAGAGCTCCTCCAGGAAGATGCCAGAGTAACGAGCTCTGACCTGTGTCTCTGTAAGTAACTAGTAAAACAGCTAAAAACATCATTGCTCGGTGACTGGAGCAGCAGGGACAGTGCTGGAGATGGAGATTTTCTGACCTATTGGGCACCAGGTATCCAGAGCAAACGACAGTGCTGGGACCCTGGAGGATCACAGCTGCTGTTGGGTTTGCTGGGTCTCATCCAGCACAGGCAGCAGCAGCAGGACTGCAGGGTTTGCACCGGGCTGCGTGGGAATGGGTGGCCTGTTTGAGTGATAAAACCCTGGGAAACAAAGTTGTGGCGTTGCAGCAATGATGTAGCAGATCTTAATGCAAGACACTGTGCGAGAGTGTTTTTATTTTGATCCCAAGCTGAAGTACAACTCATTAGTGCTTGCACTGCAAAGCTCACAAGCACCGAGTTGAGCCTATAGGGTGTTTCCCCAAGTGCTTTGCTTGGCAACTCTGTGCTGGCTTTGGATGTGCTCTTCCCTTTAAGAGCTGACAGATAGATGAGATGGTGATCTGTCTGTCTGTTCCCAAGTGATCATTATTTACTCACTGTCCTTTGTTTCTTTATTAATCTTAAGGCTCTTGCCTTGTTCTCTATCTTCCCACCATCATCTCTTAATGGCTCGAGTCTTTGTCTTAGCCTGGTTTAGGCTCTCCCTTTTTTCAGGCTCTCCTTTGTTTCCCCGAGCTGGTTGCACTGTGATGAGCAGGGCTGGATGACCTGCTAATGTAGGTGCCATCAACACCTGCCATGCTCAGAGGCGTCGGAGGGGTTCCTGCTGCCCCGTGGGTCCTTTTCCTGCTCAGTACCTGCCAGTTTTCTGCTATTTCTCCTGCAATTCTCTACAAAGCAGGTTTTACACACCACAGTGCTGTGTTACACCAGAGCTGGGCCACCTGCCAGCACAAGCCTGTCTGCAGTGGTCCTGCTAAGTTCCTGTGGGATGCAGGACTGGAGCAGCCTGTCCACCCAGGCACCACTTCCTCAGTGGTCACGGCCACGGGGCAGTTCTGTGGGAAGGAGACATGTGGCTACATAAGGATACAAGAATTTAGGGGAATACAACTCCCACTAGCTCTCCCTCTTGTAGACAGCAGGGAGCTGTGTGTACAGCCCATCCTTATTCACAGGGGAGGGGAGCTGCTTGTGCCCACAAACCCTCCTGCCCCACAGCACCTCTTGGTGGGGATGCCAGCTCCTGACACTGATGTGACTGTTTCAGAGCTGCTCGGGCCTTTGTACAAGACAGCTCTTCCCAGACCTTTCCTCTGCGTGACCCCAGGCACAGCTTGCCACCCCCCAGGAGCTGTCCTGGGCACAAGCCAGCTATTCAAAGCAGCACGTAGCCAGGCTTGCCACTGGCCAGGCACCTGGCCACCACCTTTCCTGTTTACCCCACAGTGACAGCGCAGCTCTGTATGTGTCTTGCTGCATAGCAAGCAAGACACAAACCATAGTTGGGTGTTTACAGAGCAAGCATCTGCCAGTGCCCAGCCAGGATCCGTCAGCATTCCCCCCATCGCAAGGTCTGGAACTGCTGGGATCTCACCCAAGAGGCAGCATGCTTGGTTTCAGGCTGGAAATTCTCACATGAAGGGCTGTGTGGTTTGGTGCCTGATACTGGGAAACACTGATTGGGTTTTTCCCTTCTAGGTGTTACTGGTGTACTGTGTACCTTAGGTCCATTTTAGATTAGACATTAGGAATAAATTCTTTACTGTGAGGATGCTGAGGCGCTGGCACAGGGTGCCCAGAGAAGCTGTGGCTGCCCCATCCCTGGCAGTGTTCAAGGCCAGGTTGGACGGGGCTTGGAGCAACCTACTCTAATGGAAGGTGTCCCTGGCCATGGCAGGGGGTTGGAACTGGATGAGGTTTAAGGTCCCTTCCAACCCAAACCATTCTATGATTTCAGAGAGCAGCTTGCTTTGTTTAGAGGCACATTCTGGCTATAGACAGCTGGATCCAGGCGAAGCCAAAGGGAGCATCAGTTATACCTTCAGTCCTCATGTTCAAGTTGCTGCAGCTGGGGCTCCCTTTGAAAGATTGTTCTGTTAATGTGCGGAGCAGGGTTGTGCTGCCTGCTTGTGCGTCCCCCATGGAGCCCTCCTGGGACTGGGGCCCTGGGCTGGGGAAGCATAGCTCTGTGAGGCTGCTGTTAGGTTTTGAATTCTCCAGCTGGCCAGGGTACTGCAAAGGTCTCTTGAGAGAGATGCATTGTGTCTTTTTTTAGGGCCTGTTAAGTGCTGTAGCTGGGGAAGAGCTCTGATAACTGTGTCCGTTCTGAAGAGCTTTTAAAAACTCCTGAGTTTTCCCCAAAGCCTTGGTATGAGAGTGAGGTGCTTTGCTGGTGGATGAATGATTCCTGGTTACAGCATCTGCCTCAGATGCTTCTCCACTGTGGAGAGCGGGCATGAAGGTGGATTTCTTCAGTACCTGTGTTTTTTCCTGCAGTTGGCTCCTCATGCCTCTGTGGCTTGCTTAGAAACTTAAACAGAAATCATCAAAATATTGACCATGCAATGTTTTTAAATTGTCTGGAGAGTCCATCCTGCTGGCGCTCCATTTCTATGTTTTCTTTCTGTTTACATCCTGAGAAACCCTTACGGGACCTGTGTTTATGAATGGGCAGTGTAAGAGCTTTGTGGTGTTCCTTCTCCCTCATGCTGTCACACTGTCTAGCAGCTTAGGATCCGGGGGGGATCCTTGCTTGCTGCAGGTGCCTTCTAAGGAAGTTGACCTCGTTGGTGTAGTGGGAGGCTGAGAAGCCCCTGATTTCTATGACAACAGTTGCACTTTATGGTGGTGATGTGTTCATAAATAGCTCATGAGGTGGCTCCCAAAGCACCCCACCAGCCCTGCTAGCTGTAGTACTCTTGCTGCCCATTTCACCTTTCCCTCTAGCAGCAAGCCCACACTGCTGCTAAGATGACTAGGATATATGCTTTACCCTTGCCAGCACAGACTTTTTAAATGCTTTTCTACACTGTCAGTCCAGGGGAGCTGGGGATCTACTGCCGCTTCTTCCCCACTTGTATTGTTTCCTGTACACTGCTGACTCCCAACAAGCCAAGGAAGACTTACCTAAGGTTCTCACACAATCGGGTCTCAGGTGGTACTTTTAAAAACCCAAATCCCCTAAAGGGTTTAAAAGGTGCTCGAGGATAGAACAGAACAGGAGCACAGTGGGGAGGAGGTCCCCACCTTACAGAGGAGGGACAGAAGAGCTGTACCCCTTCCTCAAGTGTGAACCTGGAGTTAAAGGGATGGAGAGGTTCAGTTCCTGGCCTTCCCCTCTGTTTTTCCTCTCAGTGTGGGATCTCTGACAAACATCTCATCATTTCTTTACTCTGTTCCATAGGAGAGGGTCAGAAGACAGCAGAGGTGACACCACCTTTTCTTAGCACAGCGCCAACCTCGCATCAGCCAAGGGAAGCCTCTGCCTTCACTGCAGTGACTGCTGCCATTCCCGAGACAAGCCTGGAGAAAAACTTGACTGCTGCCACACTCAATGCCACTGGAACCCACGCTACAGAGATGGAGGACGCCTCCATCCCTACCACCCCCATGGTGGGCACCCAGGCAGAGACACTGCAGGCTTCCACCACTGCCAGCACCGAGGACATCACCATTACACAGCATGAGCACCACAACATGATCTTGTCAGTCAACAGCAGCACTGAAATCCTCTCCCCTATCCCAACTGCCAGCACTCCGGAAGAAAACCAGCCCCACCACGAGGTCCCTGAGCCTTTCAACACAACTGAAGAAATGGAGGAGGCCAGTAGCACAACCCCCACGCCTCCCCTGAGCAGTGTGACAGGTGAGGTTTTGCCTTTTCTGCCTGTGTGGAAAGTCCTGCCCCAAGGATGCACAACCTGGAAGCTCCTGTGAACTCTCAAGGCCAGTTCAGTGGGACTGACTTGCAGAGCTGCTGTTAATTCAGCATCCACTTTGCAAACCTCATTAGTTTATGGTATTAAGTGTGCTGGCTGCTTTCCAATTAGGACATTGATTGTGTGCAGGGGTGTCCTTTATAGATCTCATGCAAAACAATGTGCTTCAGCAGTGCTGCACAACTCGTCCAACACCAGAGCCGGGGGCTCAATAGGAGCTTTCCCTGCTTGCAAGCAGAATGGGGCAGCACACCCTCCTTTAAACAAAGCATGGAGAAGGGCAGGCACAAGCATCAGCCCATACATCTCTGGGCAACCATGGGAACCCCTGCCCTACCTCCAGATCCCTCCTAGGCAGTGTGAGGACTGGCTGTAGGTCTGTGATCCCAGTCTCACCCACCTTGGGGCCTGCCAGGCTGTCACTCACCGCTGGTGGAAGGCAGCTATTGATTGACCATTGATGTGCATGGTGGTCATGCACAACTGCATCCTTCACCCTGGCTGGTGTCATGCGGTCCTGCTGTTCTGTGACAAACAGACACATCATCACAGGGATGATGCTACTCAGTCCCTGGGCAGCCCCTTCTGTGGTCCCTGTAAGGAGGGATATCTTTCCCAGTCTCTTGCTCAGGGGTGACCCTCAGCTGTGTGCAGAGCTGTTTGAGGTTACTCTGCTTCCCTTTGTCCCCAAGAGGACAGGACTTGTGGGCCCAGCTGAAGTTAGCTGACATTGCACATTGGCACATACGAAAAACAAGAGGACTTTCCAGGCACTGTGGCTGTGCTATAAAACCTGTTTGTTTCCCGAAGGGTTGTCAGTAAGCTGCTATTCCTGTAGTCTCAGCAGTCTTCCTTACAGCCCTGCTTACATCTTGTCACAGAACAGTGCACTTCCACTTTATCCTTTGAAATAATTGCTTGGTTCTATTTTGCAGCAATAAGTAACAGCTCTCAGCCTTTTGGTGGGCAGACCGTGGGACCCACAGCAGCAAGGTCCGAAACCAGCCCAGGAATGAGCCCTGTGGGTGCCACAGAGGAGAACACCACAGAGCCCAGAACCTCCTCTGCTCCCATCTCAACCACAGGGAGCATGTCCTCTGCTACTGCCTCCAGTACTGTGACAGTGAGACCCCTTGTGACCAGCTCCACGTACGCTAGCGCAGCTGCCATCCCCACCAGCACACCTACACTGGAGCAGGCATTAGAGCCCATGCATGAGAAAGCTTCTGTATTGGATGTTGGTGATGATGAAAATCCAGGTAAATGCTTTGCTTTTGTTCCTGCTCTTACAGAGTTGGGCTACCTTAAATTGCCTCTCACTTGTACTGAGTAGAGCCAGCAAAGACAAGGCTTTGCTACTCCAGCCTTGAAGGTTCTCCTTTGGCCTCATTCTCTTGGTATCCTTGCAGAGCTACCCAGTTCCCCTTTGGCTGATACAACAAAGACTGATCCCTTGGTGATCACCGTGATCTCTGTCTTCATTGTCATGGTGGGCATCCTAGGCCTAGTGGGCTTCCTGAGATACCGCCAGCACAACAGCCGCATGGAGTTCCGGCGCCTGCAGGACCTGCCCATGGTGAGTAATGCCTTCAGCCCAGCCTGACATGGTCTGGCTTGCTACTGGCTGCTCTGCAGTTCCCCTTCTACCACATTAGTAATGCCTTGGGTATTTGCAGCAGCATGAATGCTGATCACAACTCCTGTTCCCTCTTAGGTCCCTCTCCTTCAATCCAGGGTTTGAATCAAGACAGCAAGTCTCAAGGTTGGCCACTAAAGAAGCTCTCTGCCTTTCCCTCACTCTGCAGGGGAATGCTAAGAGGTTAAATAGAGAGAGGAAGGGGAGCTCCATCCCATCTTCCCCTGAAATGACACCTTCCTAGCTGCTCCTCCTGTATTCTTGATATATTTGCTTTGTGACTCTAACAAAGCAGATTCCGTGCTCTGCTCCAGCAAGGTTGTCTGTCTGTCTGTCTGCATTTGAGCTTTGGGGAATATAAAAACACATGAGGTTTTGAGAGGCTGTATTAGCTCTGGGGAAAATGCAACTAATTCACTGTGCTTTCTGGGACAGAGGAATACCAAAGGGAACTTCTGCAGCTAGCAAGCAAGCTGATGCTGTTTCAAGCTGAGTGGAGTTTTCCACAACCAGGGTTTTCCACATCCCTGCAGCAGGCAGGCTCTTCCTGAATGCACCTCTTCTCTCCAAAACCTGCAGCAGGAGGAGAGAGTGACAGCCCAAGGAACTGCACAGGGACAGCATTTAGAAGGATTGCTGGGCAGATGACCACACTGTGACAGTGTGGATGAAAAGGCTGTACTGCCTGCGCAGCACTCTTCCAGGCTGGAACTGTGTGCCACCATGCAGACTTTTCATTAAAGCACGCTCTTCTCTGCTTCTAGGATGACATGATGGAGGACACCCCTCTCTCACTCTACAGCTACTAGGCAACCAGGCTGTCCTCTGCCTGGCCGGCTGAACTTCCCAGAGGAGAAGGCCTTGAGGACTTCTTGAGGTCCCAGATGATCTGCTGAGGAATGAGGGGCTGTGATTTGCACACAACTGAAAGATCCTTTTCAGATGGCTTTTGGTTTTAGACATTTTCAATAGTTCAATGTTGAAGTTTTTACGCTGAGAAACAGAGCCCAAGTCTGGCCCTTTCCTCCAGGTTCTCCTTGAAACCATGCCCTGAAGAGGTGCCTCCTCCTTTTAGTGTGGTGACCAATTAGCCAAGACAACCTTTGCCACCATGTTCCACATGGAGCTCTTCTGTCCATCTTGGCGGCTGCTGCTTTCAAAGGAGGTGGGCAAGTGATCTATACAAGAGCTCTTAACACTGGTGGTGTCAGCACAGTGCTAGCAAAGGAGACTGCTGTTTTCTGAGGGAGCCAACAATATGGAAAGCAGTTGTCTTGGGCTCCTTTTTGTTCTGTATTTTTAAGGTTGTTTGGTTTGGGTTTTTTTCTTGCACTTTTTTTGTTCCTGTTTCAACTTTAGTCCCAGGATTGGCACAGCCCATCCTGAAACACCTATCAGGAGGATGACAAACTGCTCTGCTTCCTTCCTACATGCATACCTTTTCTCTTTAACCAGGGAAAACAGTTTTGTGGCCACTGGAGAAGTGCCCTTGCTACTTGATGTTGCTTTGAAGTTGCTGGGAGGAAAATGAACATAATTTTAGCTTAACAGGGCCTGATAGGAGTCAGTCTGTTGCAATTAGACACACTAATTTGGTCTCACCCAAATTAGGAAACCATGTCTCCCATACTTGATGCCTTCAGCATATGTGTAAACTCTTTGCCCAGGCTCAGTGAATGCTTTAGTATATTTCTCTGCCTGGATTGACACTTGCCTTTCCTCAGGTACCTCCCATTTTGCTGCTAGCATCTGGTTGCTGAAAGTTGTTGTACAAAACTAGTACTGCACTCTGCCTCCTCTGCTATGCAAGGTCAAAGCTCCTTTACCTTCTAATGTTGGTCTTTGTGCCAGTTGGCATCTCATCATGAGGACAGATCTTGATGTAGGTGCCTTCCTCCCCTTCCCTTTCTAGGTGTTAGGCTGATTAGATTCTGCACTTTTGCCTCAAAGTATCACTGCTGTAGACTGCATCCAAGGCTCCCGAGTTCCCTCAAGGAATGGACCAGAGTCTCTGAGTGTAAGTCTGAGGATCTTTTGGTGCCCTTGCCTCAGAAAGACTGTAGTGTGCACGACATGGAATTGTTCATGTAATTAACACTTGCTCCTATTTTCTAACTCACATTTGACTGCAGGTAAAGAGAAACACGTACCTTCTCTAGAGTGTCTGATTTGTGACTAAGCCAGTTGCTCCCTCAGGATACAGAAAGGGCTAGACAGAGATTGTCTACCACATTGCTCTTATAAGCTTCAGTCTATCCTCTCAGTAGCAACACTCACTGACCCCACAAAGGACAGATACCAGCCCTCACTAGCAAAACTACCCTTTTTTCCAGTGTTGTCATTACTTGTCTTAGCAGGGAAAGGGGAATTTTCCAGTCAGCAGGTCTTAAATTATCTGCAAAGCCCAAAGACGGAGCAGAACTGGTCTGGGTCAAATAGATGAACTGGGTAAGGCAGTTGCTCCTCCTTCCTGTGTTACTACTGCCTGAAGTGGCTGACAAATGGCTGCAGTGGTTTGGGTTCTCCTGTTGGCTTTGGCCTTGCATCTGTTTATTGTAAGGATGCCCAGTAAAATAGGGAAGAGGGTTGGTTCTCTCCTACTATTACTGCTTAAAAACTAAAGGGCAATTGTCACAACTCCAAAGTTTTTGTATCAAGCATTGTCTGCGCAGAGCAATCTCCCTAGCTACAGACATGTTTCCCCTGCTGGAGGGCAGGGTGCTACTGGTTTTTGGCACAAAGAGAGGCAAGTTACTGGTGGAAAATAGAACTCCATCCTGGCTGGAACTGGTGCAGGTTGGCAGAGCTGGAAAGTGTCTCTGCACACAACGGAAAGGGCAGGGGCTGGTTGTTCTGGTTTCCCATGCATCACTGTCCAGGGGAAAGGGGTGAGGAAGAAAACTCACCCAACACCAAAGTGCAACTTTCTTTGTAAAATATGTTAATAGTGGATTTTTTTTTTCTGCAATAAAGTTACAATGCCAAAGGTGTCCTGGTCCTCATATTTTCATTGCAAACATCTAACTGAAAAGTGTTTGTAGATCACAATGAATCCTGTGATAGATAAACAGCAGTAGTTTGGGGTAGGAAGACTCACAGACCTGATACTGATGAAAATGCCAGACAGCTACAAATCAGAGCTCTAAGGGTTCAGAAGGACACCACCCCTTGCTTGTGTTGCTTCTTGTCAGGGTCACTGCCTGTTTGGGTTGAATGAGATTAATTTCTATGTGGTCAAATCAGTTTAATTCTCTTTCAGAGAGCCACACTAGACCAAATAATCTAACATAGACCTTTAGACTCTGTTCCTTTGCCTCTGATTGAGGATACCCTTATTCTCATCTGTTGTCAACTGTAACCCCAAACTCTATTTACAGAAATATCCTGAAAGCCAGCCTAATCCAAACCTTAGTAGCATCATCTGTCATGCTTCTTTCTATAGTACAGAAAACAAAGCAAATTGAAAGGCACACGTGTTTTTGTGTAACTTCATAGCTGTTTTGAACTCTTCTCTTTGGAGCTCGGACCGACACAAAGGTAAGCATTTGTGGTTTGTTTCAAAAGCCCAGCTCTTGCTACAGAGCTGATAAGAGTCTCTTCTGAGCTGTTACAATACCTCAGCAAAATCACCCAGCTTGTCATAGACTGTGTTCTGAGATTTTCTACTGCAAAAGCAAAGTACAGCGAGTGAAACTACTCTATAAAAGCAAATCTCTGGAAGATCTAGAGCAAGGGGAGAGCAAACAAAGACTTCACAGCCTAGCGAAGTCCTTACTCTGAATAATCTGAAGACTTGCAAGTGAACTCTAAACCCTGTGGAAATTTCAGTCCTGTCCCAACATAGAACCATACAAAACGAAAGAGCTAAGTAACAGAACAAACATGCTACAACTAAGCCAGTCTCTTCTCAGGCCTGAAGTCATCATTCTAGTGGTTGATGTCGGAGTTTCCTCTGTTCTGCTTTTTTACCACTAACCCCACTCAGAGCTGATTCATTCTTTGCAGAACAAACTGCTAAGAGGTAGCACAAGGCAGATCTGCATTAGCCAGAGAGGCAGCAGCAGGACAGGCTCGTGCAGGCAGCCAGTCTTGGGAGGCACAAAGCTGACTGCCTTTGCCCAGCCAAGTTCTGACTTCCCGGCCAGGTGAAGCAGTCTCTGAGTGGCCAGGTTTGGAGAGGGACCATGGGCAGTTGTGTGGGCTTCATCCATATGAGCAGCAAAGCAGACTGACAGAACCAGAAAACAACTGCTGCCAGTTTCTGCATGACTCCTTGAACACAACTCTTGCTGTTGGTGAGGTTTAGTTTAATGCCCCTTAGGCTAAGGCACAGTTATGCTATTAATTAACAAGGGGATGAGAATCAATCTAATCACATTTAAAGCTAAATAGGAAGGAAAGAAACCCAGATAAAAGTAGAGTTTGTGACCCACCTGTCTTCTCTGCCCTCCCCTCCTCTCTGCAGACTCATGTTTTGAAGGGTAGGGGATCTAAGAAGATGAAACATGACAGTGCTAGAGCTGCTGTGCCAAGGGCAGGGCTACCTGTGCTACATGCCAGTTCTCTGCCCATTCAGTTGTCCTCCATAGCTCAGTGCCTGGGTTTTATAGAATCATAGAATACTTAGGGTTGGAAAGGACCTTAAGATCATCAAGTTCCAACACCCCTGCCATGGGCAGGGACACCAAACTAGACTATGTCACCCAAGGCTCTGTCCAACCCAGCCTTGAACACTGCCAGGGATGGAGCAGGGATTTGAGCTTTCCATACTGTGTATTTTCACCATCGTGTCAAATAAGGCTACAGGTAGTGTTCAGAGGCAGAGAAAGCGCCCTGAAGAGCATGAGTGTACAAAGCAGTGTGTAAATCTCGTAAGACCAACAACCCCATGAGGCTCTCCCATGGATAATAGTCCTGTGTGCTTGCTACCACTTAAAGCAGAATGAAAAAGGCGTTGTACTGATCCAGAGAGCAGGAATGCAGGAACAAGCCAGGAAGGCAGAGCAGTAAATTTTCAGTAATGAAGGCTATGAAATGATGTATAACCTGGGAAGCTTTTAGCAGCCAGTGTTGTTTTCATACCCAGGAGACAACAGAAAATGTCTACTGTCATTTCCCAGACACCTAGGAAGGAAGGAAACAGGATGTTGCACGCCTCTACATTATTTATACTCAATTTTCTATTACTACATTCAATTCAGTATAAATGTGGATTTGTCATGAGGGGAGGGGGAGAGTTTTTCTAAGCTACCTCCTGAGGCTCTGCCAAGGATGTTCCCAGCTACTGCTACCTCTGTCTCACCACACAGAGAAGTGAGAGAGGGATCTTCTCACTCTTCTCTCCCTTCCATCCCCCACAAAGCAAACAGAAATCATGCACTTCCTGCCCATAAACCAGGCAAATCTGTGGTCCTACTGCTACGTAGCTAAGTGATAAGCATATCTGTAAGACCATGACTACTAATATAAATGTTCCAGTCAGTATTAGGCCCCAAAAACTGTTTGTGGTTTGGTTTTTTTTCCTTAATTCCCCCAAAACTTTGTAAGATAACAGAGTTCTTTAAACTCCCCCATCCACCACATTTGAATGAAGACTCTTCCCCATTCTAATGCTGCAGGGGATACATTTGCTCATAGACATGAGAAAAATCAACCTTCACCCAAAGCACAACTTCAGAACACTCTCAGAAAATAAAACACTTAGACCCACCCAGAAGAAGACTTTCTAATTGTGGCTGGTCTTACACAGCTTGTAATCTAGAACCCCACCACAGCTGAAGCTGCAACATCAGTAAGTTTTTGTAAGAAACCATTAACTATTACAGCAAGGAAGCACAAATAGGGTGCTAGACAGTGTCAAATTTGATAGATGTGTGCATTTTAAAGACAAAGGGGTGGATGTATTCATCTGCTTGACAGCCTGCACAGCCTTCCTTGTGCGTGTTCCCACTTCCTGTCTAATAAATGTACTTGAAAGATACAGTCGGCACAGGTCTGCTTCACGTGCACCAGCAGTTTAACAATGGTTAGCCTCAGTTCCTCTCTAATATTGTTTCTTTTGAAAGACCCATCAGTCAAGTAACCCCCTGAACCAGAACACCAGCTTCATCCTGATCCGCGGACAGCGGCCACAGAAGCAAAGAAATAACTGTGTAAGAAAATAAGTATGTGTTTGTTTGTACTGTTCAGCTCCCTGTTTACAGGTAGACCCAATCCCCCACCCACAGTTCAAATAAAGAGCTAAGTTACCAGAGGTACCCTCCCAGTCATAAAACAGGTCTCCCTGTGATGAACTGCCCAGAATTAATACATCCCTGCAGCAGAAGCCTTTTGCTAGTGCTCTTTGAACTATAATGGAACATCTGTTGACAATCTCCCGCAGGGTAACTTCTCCCCCCACCCTGTTTTAATCCTCTGCCCTTCAGAAGTACTTTTGCTCTGAAATTAGACACATCAGTTGCCACAGGATGACTCTCAGAAGCATTTGAGTGTTTCCTTTCACACTGGGCTTTCTTGGGAGCTGCAGGAAGGGGGATGAGCACTCAGCCCTGTTCAGTGTTTTCTTACAAAATGTGCTGTTATGTCTGAATTCCAGAAGCTTTCAATAGTAAACTACAAGTTCTGCTTGGAACAAGACAAAGCTCATGGGTTCTGGAACATGCCTTTCAGCCAGATTTAGGTACTCATTTGATTCTAAGAAGGGTTTTACTGGGGATAACTGCAAAATTAGCAGTTTTCCTTTGTGCTAATTCTGGCTGTCCCTTCTGATCACACAGGCAGACCAAGCCACTAACATGATCATTGCTTCAGTTTCCCTGATAAGCCTGGGGGCAGGATGAGAATTCAGAAGTGGAAGGCAGTGGTGCACAATCCTGTTTGTGGCTGGCTAGTAGAAAGAGAGGCCATTTTCAAAAAAGGCTGAGAGAGGCCCCAGGAAAACAAGTTCCCTTTGTTTTACAAAGTGTAACCTGCTGGATCACACTGAGTGATGGAGAACTGGTCACTGCATCCTGCTCAAGTCTGTTTCTTGGATGCATCAGGTCACTTTCCAGCCCACCTTCAGTCAGATCCAAGGCACTCAAGCATGGGTTTATATCCTGGCCATGATCTGCCAATGGCTGTTCACATGTTCAGGTTCACTCTGAGAAGTAAAGTTGAACTCTGGGAAGCAGCTGTTCACTGGAGAAGGAAAACTAACTGATCTCAGCCTGAACTTCAAAGCAAAGCCATGATTTATGCAGCTGAATGAGATAGAGGTCACAGGAGCAGCCTCTGCCACTGTGTCTTGTCTTGATCTATGCTCAAGACCCCACTTGACGACTCCTACTGCTACTCTCAGCACCACCAGTTTCTGCCCACTTTTCAAACCAGTCCTAAACAAGCTGTGCTGCCCCTCCTCCCTTTACAGTATCCTGACTTTGTGCCACATCCCAAGGTCCTTTGTATTGACTGAGAAGTATGCAGCAAAGAGAATGCCATACATCTGTCTCCTTCACTGTCCCATCTGCTAGACTACAAAGCATTCACTATCAAATAGGCAGTGGTCCTCTTTCCCCACACTCTCAAGGCTTTCTGAATTCAGTGTCGTTCATTCACCTCTTCCCTTCTCCTTCACCAGCTCTCAATTCTAGAGTAAGTTCTCTGAGAAGAAAAAGGACTAAAAAAATTCAAACCACATTAGGAAATTTCACAAGGCCCCTTTTAGCCACTTAATTCTCAAAAACAAACCCAGCAACCTCTCCTTTATGGTGGTTGTAGAAGTTTCTGTGCAAAGAACAGCATTTCTTACTCCGTTTGAGCCATATAGAGGAAGCAATTTACCAACACTTGTCAAATCAGCTGCTCCATATTAGGTCTTGTCAAACAGAGTAAAAATATGGTCAGTCTATATCTGTTCTTGCTATGTATAGTCTCCATAAATGGCACAATCTAAGCCCAGCTAGATATCCCAGAGCTTTAGCTAGCCAACAGCTTAAGCAATATCCAACATAACCCAAAACTTGCAATATACTGGTGGGGTATATTGGAGGGGGTAGAACATTTGAAGGCATTAGTAGCGACAACACACACACACTTTTCTCAATTTGTGCTGGTCCACCAAGTAAGAAAGAGCTCAGAAGACAGGATTGTACAGTCCACCCCATGGGAGAGGGTTGAAGCAAAGGGCTGCACCTAGGAATTCTCTGACCCTTGAGGAAATCCCACAATACAGACAAGCCCCACAGCATCTCTCCCTCTGCAAGCCAGAAGGCAACAGCAGAAGCTGATTGAGGCACCACAAACCAGACCCTCCATCAGTGTCTGTCACCTGGAGTGAAAGAATAGAATACACACCTCTGTGTTGTAAAGGCATAAGGTGTAGGTTTAAGCAAAAGAGAGTGAGATGTCAGCCAGCATTTCAGGTCTCGGGTGGAGAGTGGGACTGGGCAGATCTATGAATGACTTCTCAAAGTGGCTATTTCCCTTCCTTTACTTGCCTCCCTTGGGTAAGACCCACACCTCATAGCTTCCAGCTCTGGGAAATCCAGGTAACAAACAACTCAAGAAGAGTCTGCCTGCCTAGGGAAGTCAATATCCTTTCTTTTACTTGTTCCCTGCAGTAAAGAACATATCTTTCAGTTAACATTAAAGGTCATGTGGCTTCAGTTCAGGCAGGCTGTCAGACAGCTCACTGCTGAGGTCACCTGCTCTTGACTATTTCCAGCCTCTTCTCCAGCACTGCTTCAGCTTGAAACACAGCATGGAGATATCTTTACAATCTACACCAACAGAACAAGGAATTAGCCTTCCCTGGCTTCCTTACCCAATACGCCAGCCCTAGTGGCCGCCTATGTCTAGCCTCCCCAGCACTGCTCAGTGTGGATTGCAGTCAGTATCAAACTCTAATAAACATCCTCATTCATCCTCTGTGGAAACAGAGAAATACCAAGAAGCATCCTCACAAGCTACATAAACTCAAATAAAAATAGGTGTCTATGTAAGTGAATCATGGTTCCAAGCGCCCCAGTAAGCTTCCAACACAGCTACTGCATGCCCCTACCGTAATACTGGCCAGGGTTTCTGATACTTCTACAATATAAATATTTACTACTAACACTAAGCAACAGGTAACTATCTGCTTTGTGTTAAATGAGTGGTACTGCTTGAACATTTGATCAGTAAAGCTCTACGTATTAGTCCCTACCTGGCACATGCCTCAGAATAAATGTTGAAGAGAAAAACTTAACCCTTTGATGGGGCGTAAAGACTCCTCAGGCATTGTCCTAAAAGCAACCTGACGTGTTAGGACTGCATCTACAAAGCAGTTAATTGTAGCACGTTTGCCAGTGAAGTCTGAATCAGCAGGATTAGTAAATTGGAAAACCAGAACACACAGCAGTTTAATATGCCTTACAGCCTCCATTCACAAGAATCTTAAGCATCTTACTAAAGTAGGGCATGATTTTTTTTCTTTTAAAGGAACATTAGCCCTTTGTTCCTGATTTCCTTTAATTCTAAGTGTTAATGCAAACACAAGGGGCTTTTATATCCTAAAAGCAAGGCATAAATC